CAACAATCTGAATTCATTCATGCAAACAACAAGTTAGTTGTTTAATTTCACCATCATATTTTGATCAATAAGAACCTGAGCTCAATCTAGATAGGAATAAACCCATTGCTCCCTTTCCAAATAGACTCAGATCGAGAAAGAACTCTCCTCAGGTGGAGAAAATCTTAGAAGTGTTTACGCAAGTCAATGTCAACATCTCTCTCTTAGATGTCATCCAACAAATCCTATCTAATACAAAATTCTCGAAGGATTTGTGTACTAAGAAAAGAGCAACCAATGTTCTCAAGAAAGTCTTTTTAGCTGCTAATATTAGTGACATTCTTTCAAACTCTATCAATGGCTAGGGATAGGAGAACTGAAACCAACCAGATGCACACTCCAATTAGCTAATAGATCTATGAAGATACCCAAGGAAGAGATAGAGGATGATCTAATTAAAGTTGGGGAGCATATATTTCTTGTTGATTTCATAGTCATGGAAATGCAGTCAGTTTACAATCTCAAGGGTCAGATCTCAGTCATTTCAGAAATATCGTTCTTAGCAACTTCAAATGCTTTGATCCATTGTAGAATCGGTCAAATAAAGTTACCCTTTAAGGCTGCGTTTGGCAAGAGGTTAAATGGAGGGTTAATGAGGTTTAACCCTCCATTAGTCTGCCAAACAGTAAAAAAAGATCTAAGGGTTTGTTAACCCGCACGTGAGCTTTTTATCCTGTTTAACCCGTTAACCCACGGGTTTACTATTACCCATGAGAAGGCGGAATAAGGCTTGTTCCGCCTTCTCACGCGAGGGTAGGTAGCGGAATTAGGAAAAAATATTAATTTTGCTGTGTTCGGAAGATGCGAAGGCATTCGTGAGTGTAGTCATCATATAATTGCCCTCCGATCCCAGCCGATACTGAGAGAGTGGTGGAGTGCCTTCTCAATGGGGTCACGGAGGTGGGGACCTCATCGTCGGAGAATTCAGTGTCTTCATTGTCGTGGGATTCAAAGGGGAAGGGAAAAGATGAGAGCGGGGAGGTGAACCTCATCGTTGGAGAATTCGGTGTCTTCATCGTTGTGGGATTCGAAGGGGAAGGGAAAAGATGAGAGCAAGGAGGTGATGGATGACAGTTGCAGTGAGGTGGTGAGGGATAATGGGAGTGAGACCCCTAGGAGGAGCGTTTCACACCAGGTGTTGACGCCGACATTGAATAGTCAGAGTTATGTGGGAAGGTTTGAGAAGGAGGCGGTGGAGGCGCTGGAGAGGATGTAATTTGTGTTCTGGTTGGTCGTGGATGTGCTCAATCAAGGTGGGAAGAACATGGTGCTTCAGAATTTGGAGGAGGTTTGGTTGACGGCTACTGCTCAGATCAAGTCATTGTCGGCATTTCTTAAGGTACCTGAGTTTGCACTATGCTTGAATTGCTTTATAGTTCTGGCTTTAGGAGTTCAAGTAAGTAGTGCTTCGAGCATTGGAATGTCTGGTAACTGATAATTGAAGCAAGTAATGAACATAGCAAGAGCTTTGTTGCACTGCAAAGAATCAATTGAGGTATTCCATCTTTTCTCACAGGTGGTCTAGATATGGGTAACTGATGCAGTCACCCATTTGTAGGAGACACATCATAGCAGTTGTAGAAGATACTACCAGATGCAAGGGTAGATGAAGGTAAAAGTAGATCAAAGGAATAAAAGGGATGCAATGGTGTCAATTTCTTCAAAGGGAAGGGTGTATGAAGGGAAGTTTTATCTTGCAAGTTTAACATTACTTTCTGTTAGATGCCTCAGATGGCTTAAGGGGCAATATGTGGATTGTTGTTTAGAGATTTAGGTTTTATTTGATGCGATTAAATATCAACTATAAGTTTATTGTACAGACTTGTTGTCAAGAGACATACCTTATTTCTAGATTACAGTAAAAATTTTTAACGGCTAGTGACTCACATCTGCATGTTTGGTCTACATTATCTCAATTATGTATGCTGTTAAAGTCTAGTTTTAATATTGTCATACATTATGCTGAAATATACCGTAACAACTACTCTGTTTCCTAGCTGCCAACATTTTCGGACCTTGTATTGAATTGTTTCAGACAGCATAAGTTATTGTTATGCTTAGATGTGATATGATGAACCTGTAATAAGGTCTGTCTCTTGAGTATTGTTGTTGCTGTTGATTGGAAGCAGCTCCTGAGTATTATTATTCAAGTAGTACATGTTTGATTACTAATTTTTTTGGAATAAACCTGCAGTCAATTACCAGGAGCTGGTTATTTTGCTATTTCACTTTGTTTGCTCAGCTCCTGAGTATTATTATTCAAGTAGTACATATTTGATTGCTAGGTTGTGGCTGATGTTAATATTTCCCGTGAGCAATGGACTCAGATGTAGGAGAGGCTCAAAGAAATAGAGGGCTTCTTCGAGTTCAACTACCCATCTCAAAAGGATGATGTTGTTCAAATGATTTGGCAGGCTGTGGCCAGGAAATTACCATTCTTAAGGTTGAAGTTGCACAGATGGAAGAGCTTTGCTCGGTTTGAGGTTGGTTTGAAAGCGAGGTGGTAATCTCCTTACAACTGAGTCGAGAAATCATTTGGATTTCGTGCTAAAATCTTTTGGCTAAGCTAAGCTCCAACTATTTGGCTGATAGGTTGGCGCAATTTTGGTTTGTTATTTTTTTACTGAATTCTCCCCTTCTGCCCCATTCTCATTTTTGAGCAAAGAATTCAGGCCATTTGTAAATTTTTAACTATAACCTGAGTTAAATGCAAATTTCACAGTTTTGAATGAGGTCAAATACTGTTTTATTTTTGTCTAAATGCTAAGCTCTGACTTTGTGTTTGCTCGCAGTGCAAGAGGTGTTCCTGCAACTATGTTGCTTAGCCATTTGACAAACAGGTTAACAAAGCTAGAGAGAATCATTTGGAGGTGTTCCTGCAACTATGTTGCTTAGCCATTTGACAAACAGGTTAACAAAGCTAGAGAGAATCATTTGGCTGTATTTAGAACTGTCGACAACTTAGCCATTTGACAAACAGGTTAACAAAGCTAGAGAGAATCATTTGGCTGTATTTAGAACTGTCGACAATTTCTGAAACAAATATGCGATCATAACAAGTTTATATCCTCAAACTTATTGACATTTAAAATGTCTCTCTTATGTTTATGATATAATAAAATTTACCGTTAAATTCTCTCCAAAAACTTATGTCTAATTTTTTCGTTTTTGATGAGTTAATTATTTATAAATCTTCAATAAGAGCGAAAGTGGTATTTTTTAAAAAAATAATGAGATTAATCTCCTTAACCCCTCTTCCTTTGCCAAACACAAAAGACTTAACTCATTGTCTTAACTATTGTATCCAAACGGGTTTAGAATTTTTTTTAACCATTCACGATGGATTAACTAAGTTAACCCTTCTCTTTAATCCCTTCTCTTTGACCCTTTGCCAAACGGGGCCTAAGAGCATAAAAATCAAGCATACAAATCACAAATCCAATCTGTATACAACCTCCACACACTAAATGTGGGTTCAAATTCAAAATTAACTTCCATGTCAAGCTAGATTTCAACTCTAAACTTGACATCTCTTGGATGTTTAAATATAGTGCATGTGGGGTTAAGCCATGTAACAACACTATCAATTTTCAATGGAAACATTATATGTTTGCCATGAGAGTTCTCCATTTGATGACATTTACCAACTTCTTAACAATAAAGTCTTGAGTCTATTGGAAACTAGGAATCTCGATAAAAATAAAACTTTCTATTGTAGGGTAAGTTTGATGAGATTACTATGCAAGAATTGCATATATAAGAGAGCAAATTGTTGGTTTCAGATGGTTTTAACAAATTTTAGCCAAACAAAACCTTCGTAGATCTAGAGCCAAGAGAAATCTACTAGTTCTAGCTTGCATCATGGCTAGATTCAGAGCCAAGACAATCTACGAGTTATTTTGGTGCAAAATAAAGATGGACAATATGTGATTGTTGAAAGAAAAATGTGAATTAAGATATTAATGAAAGAACAATTCAAATCAATTAGAAAAAGAGCGAAATAGAATAAATTTAATTTAAACAATCAAAGAAGACAGTATATACAACCATATAAAAAACCCACAAGGGTAGTGCAAATTCGAAACATTTCTTCCTCTCCAATTGTAATAAATTTGACACCTATTGACTTTTTCTACTTCCCTTCTAGTCCATTTCTTTCTCCTATGGTATTATATGTCATTCAATTCATGAATACAAAAATGCCTATATTTTGGTTATAAAAAAGATAAAAAAAAGGTGGTAGATGTTAGGAAAAAGAGTAAATTTATGTAAATGAAAAAGCCAAGAGTTATGCATACATATATGCCAAAATTTATTTATACTAATTCATAATTCATAATTAAATAAATATAGTAAGGGTAAGAAAATTAGTGGGAGGATTTCAAGTACAATAATGAAGGCAAAAGATAATGTTCTATCAGAAATCAGTTGATTCTTAGCCTCTCCCTACATGTTAAAAGCTCCGTAAACAAAATGAGAATTTTTTTCATATTTTTAAATATAAAAATATGTAAGAAGAGCATGTTTTAATATCACGTGTAGTTGCACATATCAGTTCTTATTTAATTTTAGAGAAATGATGGTAGTCGGTTCACTCATTTAGATTTTTTTTTCAATTAGAACAACCACTCAACATATCTTAAATCGAACCAAGCCATGTATTCTTAGTCGATTTACTCGGCCTAACGAGATCAATACTCACCAAATAAATAAAAAGAACAGACAAAGGAGCCTGTCCTTTATAGTAAGGGCTCATTTGGTCCATTTTTCTTAAAAATATCCATGAAATGAGTTTTCTAAACTTTAGATCACATCAACAATCAGAATGTTAACTTTTCTCTTGATTTCAGGTGAGACCAACCAATAAAAAGAACAGTGTTAAACCGTAGATCCAAAATCACTTCGGATCGGGTCTGGATCGGGCTCTTCACCCGACCCGGACCCTTTACAGCAAAAACCCTACTCATCTTTACGTTCGGTCCCTCTCCCTCCCCTCGGCCCTCGAGCAGCTTGTCCGGTGCCCGTAAACCCTAAAAATCCAACCTTTAACCCCAAATCCCTCTCTTCATCTCGCAGCCATGGCTTCGTCGGCCGTCCTAAGAAACGCTAGCTCGAGGCGCCTGCTCCAACCCTTTCCTTCTTACTCTTCCTTCTATCATTCTTGTTGCCGAGGATCGAGCTTGAGCCCTTTGCCTACTAACCATTTGCAATCGCTGCTCGGATCGAATGCGGAGAAATCCTCGGAGGCTGGATTCATATGGCGGCGATCCATGGCTACCTTCACTCGAACGTATCTTCTTTCTTTTTTCCTTTTCGTCTATTTTGGGTTGCTGACGATTGAGATTGTAGATTCATCATTTTACACTTCTCGTTGAATTTTCTTGCTGTAAAAGTATTATTATTCTGTTGCATTTTGAGAAGCATGGGGTAATTTTTTGCTGTAATTAAAATGTTACTATTTTCTATTGACTGGGTGTTCTGATCTTATCAAAGATTGTATTGAGTTTGAAGCAGAAACACGCGTTGCTTGTTTTCTTAATTAATCTGCTTGTTTCTTCAGGAAGCCTCATGTAAACGTTGGAACCATTGGACACGTGGATCATGGAAAAACTACTCTTACGGCAGCAATCACTAAGGTTGATCCTTTTTCTTTGGATGCATTTGATGTTGACTGGATATGGTTCTATTTCTATTTTCTTTCTTAAATCTGTATGTTCTTTGTAACTTTGTCGTGCCAAATCAGTACAAACTTTGTCGTCTGTGCATTTCTTCTTTTAAGCAATGAAGGGAAGCAGACAGGCAAACATGGCGTAGAATTAAGTGTATCACACTGTGCATTTTTCAATGCTGGGTGGAGAGAGATTCAATGAGAATAAGATTATAGTTCCCGCTATGAAGCTAATACTTTTATTTGAGTCCAAACACTGAACGAAGATAATTAGGGGAACTTTAATGCCTTAGGGAATGGTTTCCATATGACTAGTCCTGTTGTGACACATTAGAGGAGGTGGGACTCCTTAAAATCCAAAATCTGCAATTTATCGAACTGGTCATGTTGTATTGAAGGGGAAAGTATGTGTCTTAGCTGCCTTTGCCTTTTCTTTCAGGTACTGGCTGAGGAAGGAAAAGCTAAGGCTATCGCTTTTGATGAAATTGACAAGGCCCCCGAGGAGAAAGCTAGAGGAATTACCATTTCTACGGTTAGATAATGCTTTTCATGATTAGCAGTTTACTCTTTGCACATAACTTACTATCTTGAATGATTTGACACTTCTTATTTTTGCTTTCTTATTTAAATTACGAGCATTGTTTTCTAGGCTCATGTGGAGTATGAAACTGCTAAGCGGCATTATGCTCATGTAGATTGCCCGGGACATGCAGACTATGTCAAAGTAAGTCGTAACTAAGAAAATATTTACAATGTCAATCCAGTAATACTTGTTTATAAATTTAGATTTGTTAACCAGCAATTTGTTTGGCTTGACGACCCATTTGAAATAATATAATTGAGAGATGCATGTCAAAACAATAATCTTGGAAGTCGTACCCTCATAAAGTGGATTTGGTTTGCTATTATGCTTCCTTTTGATTGGTGGAGCACTTCAATGTTTTATGGTTTCTTTGCTGTTGGGCCTACTTGTGGCTAAAGTACTACAGACCATTGATCGCTATTTAGAAGGTTGAATTGTTTTAGGAATTTACAAAGTCATTAGAAATAAACTAATCATGAACCTAATTGGCATAGGGCTGTGTGTGTGTGTGTATAGCCCTTAGGTTTTAAAGCAAGTTGAATCTGTAGTGTTGCCTAGTAAAGTTAGCCATGTTGCAATCTGAATGCCTTTTATTTTTGGGCACTTTATTTTGGCATGGAACTGGAAGTGTAAGGCAAGGTTGAATTGTTTTAGGAATTTACAAAGTCATTAGAAATAAACTAATCATGAACCTAATTGGCATAGGGGTGTGTGTGTGTGTGTGTGTAGCCCTTAGGTTTTAAAGCAAGTTGAATATGTAGTGTTGCATAGTAAAGTTAGCCATGTTGCAATCTGAATGCCTTTTATTTTTGGGCACTTTATTTTGGCATGGAACAGGAAATGTAAGGCAAGTCACAACATATATGAACCATTGCAATCATTCTCTAGCTCTACACATTGGTGATTATTGACTTACAAGAAAACCCTCATTGGAACTTTATATTTATGCTTCTTGCTCAGTCTTATCTGTGATTTATGGATCTTGGGTATCTCAACTGATTGCTATATTTCCTGCTGTTGTTAGGATGCATGACCTGTTGCCTTAATAACACACATACAGTCATACAAATGTAAAGATAAAAGAACAAAAAACTTATCCCCAGGCAGCCCAGCATATAATTTGCAGTGGGCACATATTATTTGACCATGTTCTAGTGAACTTTTGTATTTCACTTGTTGCAAGAACTGAAACTATTACAAACTTTACTAGGGTTTGGCTTAGGATCGTCTTGAAATACTGTCCCTGTTCTTTGAATCAAATTTGCTCCATGTCAAACTTTAATTATTGGATGCTCTTGAAAGCCCGTTCGTGTTCTTTAGAGGTTGGAGTGTGGAGGATAACCAAGATTTGATGAAAAAAGCACCTCTGATAAGGTGGAGTCTTTGAAATAGCCGTTTCTGGTTCAAGAATCATGCAATACTGGTTTACTGGTTTAGTATGTGACTTGCCTTACGCTATAGTTGGGCGCAAAAACATAATCAATGTTTGCTTTTTGCCAGCGCAGACACCATGTTTGGCACAAGAAAACTAATAGTTTACGGAGATTATGGCTTTAATAAGATGAAAGAAATGATAAGTTGTCATTATGCAGGGCACGGGCAGTTGGATTCATCCCAAGACATTAAAATAAGTTCATAGCTGCATAAGTTTTACTTCACTATTATTATCTCGTGATGAGGCCTCAGATACTTCTCCTTGTACATACTTGAATTCGTACAACAACAATAACAAAGTTTTTATCCAACTTTTTGTAGTCAGCTACACAATTCTATTCTTTCATTCAGTTCTATTATGGATCATGTCCTCTGTTAAGTTATCTATGATAATATCCTTCTTAATTGCTCCATTGTTGCTACGAAGTTTTTTAGGTTAACCTTTAGATCTCTTTTTCTTAAGTGGTATACTAAGAGGTCCTTTGTATATGACCAAGCCATCTCAACTGATTCTCATTTTATCCTTAATAGGAACAATCATTTATCTCCTACAAATGCAATCATTTATTATCCTATCTTTTAGTGTATACCCACAAAGCCGATGTAACATCCTCATTTCTTGTACACATTTTTTGCACATGTTTCAATTGCTTAACACTATGATCAATAAAGCATTGTTTTTTATTACTGTTCTATGGAATTTTCTGTTAGTCTCATATGTATTCTACAATCATATAAGACGCCCAAGCACTCCTCCTTTTTAACCATTCCGATTTAATTCAATTGATAACATCATCATCAAGCTCACCATTATGATGAACGATTGATAAATAATAAAAGTGATTACTTTTAGGTATTACTTAACTATCAAAATGTATTATATGCTCTTTTCACTTCACAACTTCAAAAATTATATTTCATGAATTGTATTTTTGTTCTACTAATTTTAAATCCTTGGTTTCGAGAGTTTTGTCCCTACCTTCTACTTTAGGTTTTATACCTTTTCTAGTCTCTTCAACAACTAATACTTGATCATTAGTAAATAAAATACACTAAGACTTTGTGTTGAACGTGTCTAACAAGTTGGTCTATAACTAATACAAAATAATAAGCATTTTAAGTTTGATCTTTGATGTAAATATGTGATGATAGGAAACCTTGTCTCTACATCATTTGTTCTCACCCTTGTTGTCACTCTATTATACTTATCTTTAATTGCATCAATATATATTAGATAACCCACCACATCATCTTTCCAAAGGTACTATACTGCAAGATTTTCCTAGATCAATGAAAATATTATATAGAAATTTCTCTTCTCTTGATGTCTCTACATCAATTTATCATTATATAAATAGGTTCCTTAGCTGGCTTCTTGGACATAAAACCAAATAGATTCTCAGATATGCTTGTCTTATTTGTTGGCCTTTGCTTAATTTCTATCTCAAAGTTTCATAGTATGACTTGTGAGTTTAATATCATGATAGTTTGAACAACTTTGTATATCTCATTTTCCTTTATTTTTGTATATCGGTACCAAAGTGAATTATTCGGTCATTTGGACATTTTTTTCGTCTTAATAATCTTATTAGATAAGCTCACTAACCATCTGATGAGGACAATAATGGCAATTTCTATATTTGTTATTTGACTTTCTTTTATTTTAGTTTTGAATAAGGAAGATTTGACAAGTTTGATCATATCTTAATTTAGTTTTAATTGTGAGAAATTTGAGGGATTTTTCTATTTTGGTAGGATTTTAATTTTTTTTAATTTTGAATTTTGAATTTTGGGTCAAGTTTAGTAGTTAATCAGTTTTTAGTATCTGAGTGATTTGAGGAATTTTGAATTTTGAATTTTGGGTCAAGTTTAGTAGTTAATCAGTTTTTAGTATCTGAGTGATTTGAGGAATCTGATTGATTTTGAGAGATGTTTTTAGTATCTGAGTGATTTGAGGAATCTGATTGATTTTGAGAGATTTTGTAATTGCTCTATAAAAGCACTGCTGTAATCAGAATGAAATTGCTGTAATCAGAATGAAATATATTGAAGAATTGAATGAAAAATATTGTGTTAACAATTATTGGTGTGAAGCCTCGGATGTGAAACCCTAGCCTGACTTCTCTTTCTTTTCCCCAGCCGCTAGACTCCCTCCCTTCCTCTGCATCAATCGCAGAACATCCCCCTCCTACTCTTTCTCCTCAGCCGCCAAACCCATCTCCTTCTCTTCCTCTAGCAACCGTCACCAACTCCACCCTCCCTTGTTTTCTCTGCCAGCCGCGCCTCCCCTTCCCTGACCCCCCTTCAGCAACAAACCATCGCCGCTGTCCTGCTTCTCCCCTCTTCCAGTCGTCGGATCCCCTCTCCCTTTTCTTCTCCAGCTGTGCATCCTCCCTTGCAATCGCCGCCCTCCCGTCTCCTCCGCCAGTCGCGCCTCTTCCTGCTCCTTTTGAGAACGAACAGCGCCGTCCGTCTTCTGCCTTCTCCTCTTTCCCTCTAGCAAATCCCACCGCTACAAAACCACTCTTTCACCCGCTTTTCTTCTGCTCCGATCAGCCAGCACCCCCTCCTTGCGTCCCTCCCTGTTCAAACAGCCCGACGACATCCTTCCCCTGCTCCGCCATCCTGAGCAGCCAACCAGACGACACCCTCTTGCTCTTCTCTAACCGAGCAGCCCCACGAGACCTCCACGCCTCCACTTCCGAGTAGTTCAGACGCCGCTCGCGTCCTTCGATCGCCCACGCATCCAGTCGCTACGTGGTCGTCACCTCGTCGTTGTCACACCACCTCCAGAGGTCCCTCACGACTAGCATGTTCGCTTAGTTCACCGTCGTTGTCGTCGCTAGTTCGACGTCGTTGTCGTCGCCAGTTCATCCGTCGATCGTCACCACTTGATAGCCCAGTAAATTATTTTTTGTTAATCTTATTTTATTAGTTAATTGCATGAGTATTTTATCTCTAAACTCTTATCATATATTCACTGTTTAGATTATATTTGTGAGTTGAGAGTAATTAAGCATGTGACTGTTTAACTTTGATATTGATTGTAGAATTTGAGCATGATAATGAATATTACAGTTAAATTGATCGAGATTGGAATTAATCATAACTATTGATGTAAATTTCGTTAAATCCATCAATCACATTAGTTGTTTTGAATTTAATTTCCTGTCAAAGATCATGGAATTTGGTGAAACGATGCATTATTCGATTTAAATCGCTGATTCTGATAGACCTCTGTCCCATTTCACATCACCATCCTAAGCCTGTAACTATGACATTTCCAAACTTCAATAGGAATACCACCGATCCTACATCTTTTCACTTTTCATTTTCTTAAAGCATTTTTAACCTCAACAGTCCTAATTTTCCAACAATATCGATAGTATTTATGATGCATTATATGGTTAAATTTCTACAGTTTCCTATTTGGTTATCTTTAAACAAGTTATGAAAGTAACACCTCCATCTCTCTTTAATTTCCTTTTTGGTTACTAGAACTCTTTGATCTTCTCCCTTGATACATTTAATATCACCTAAGTCCCTATTCTTTCTTTCTTTCATTTTAGGAATTACATGCACACAAGCCTTATATTCCTACTTATGGAAATTCGTTTAAGTCTTGTATTTAATCTCATTAACTGCTCTTTTTGGTTCCTTCGCTGCTAGTTTATACATTATTGTCTTACTGCATGCTCTCTCTCTCTCTCTTATATATATGGATACTGCATGCTCTCTCTCTCTCTCTTATATATATATGGATAACCTTGGTACCAAGAATCATTTTTGTCCTTAGTAGTGAGGTGGCTCATTCTCATTCATACATTCAAAGGGGACCACTTGCACATGAGTTGGAGAACATAGTTGAAAAAACCCGTTATAACCCGCTTTATAACTTAACGGTGTCCTCTTGTTATGTAACACACCCATTTAACGCTGAAACTATTTAACCTAGAAAAAATGTTATATTGCGTTAAATATGCGTTACGTTATATGACCAGTTAACATGGATTTTTTAGGTTAAATTGCATCTCTAATCAGGACGTGGATGCATCTCCGCCATCCAAATCATTTAAACCCTACCCCTTTTAGTCTTGATCACCCTATTCTCTTCCTACGAATAAGCGATCTCTTTGCCTCCAACCTAAACCTTAACTCCTTGCGTCCTCTAAAACTCCACTGGCTATCCGCGGCTTCTGTGACCAAGGTTTTAAATATCAGCCGATAATCCGATATTATCCCGGAGTTATCGGTTTTAGGAGATTTCCGATAGGATAAGTTGAAACTTAAATCAATATCTTTTTTGGGGTTTATCGGCGATAATGCGGCGATAAGGGTGATTATCGGCTGCTATTAGCGGCTTTAAAACTCGGAATTATCGGGCCACACTATTGGGTTTTGATTTTGGGTAATGGACATTTTTTGAGTGAACTTGAAACCCGACACGACCCGTTCTTTACAATAAAACTTAAACTCGATTAAGTAGCCCTAATCCTCCGTTCTCTCTCCCCTCATTTGTGCGGTTGTGTCCACTGCCCTAATCCTCTGATCTCCGTTTCTCTTTGGACTCTGTCGACATTGACGCTCGCCTCTGCTGACTTCGACGCGCCGCGACGCGCGCCGACGCCGACTTCGACGCGCGCTGACGCGCGCCTCTGCCGACTTCGATGCGCGCCTCCTCTTCGGACTCTGCTGATCTCAATGCTATCAATTTCGACCATTCGACGCTGCTCTCTCATCGACATTAACTTCATCGACTTGACGACTTCGACTGATGTTGTGCTCTCTCCATCGACGCCATCATCAACTGAGCTGATTGACTCGACGACGTTAACCGACGCTGAGCTCTCCATTAATGCCGAGCTCTCTCCATCGACGCCATCATCAACTGTGACTTCGACAGTTCGACTTGGACTCTTCATCGACGCCACGCCCTCAACACAACTTCTGAAGTTGTAGCAACAAATAAAATTCACTATTTAGTTGGTTTTTTCTCTAGTTATTTAGTGAATGTTGAGAGAATGAAAGAGGGGAGTATGGTCAGATTACAATTTGGGGTATTATATTATATATACACATCATACGGTATATCACTCCGATAAATACTACTTATCCCCGATATATCCCCGATTTTCACTATCCGATAAGGATTTTGGCCATCTGATAAATCCTCGATAACCGATATTTAAAACCTTGTCTGCGACTCCGGTGAGGTAAATTTTTTATTTTTTAGTTATGTATTGGGCATCTCAGATTATATCCTTTAAATAGATAGTTATTTTAAAATTATCTTTCAAATCCCAATATTTTCTATTGCCAATTTACCCTAAATCATATCAAACTTGTTGCTCCATTACTTTACCATTCAATATAATTTTTTAAGATCTACCACATAATTAGAGTATAGTGATTAATTAGTGGGTTAATTGTGTTGATGAGATAATTACTTTCAGTTATCTCTTGATTTTGATTAGGTTTTTTAGTTTTCATTTTCAGCTAATACTAATTTTTGTGAAATTAAGTTTGCACATAATCTTGTATATAATTTCTTACTATTATTACATAGTCATGTTTAGTTTGGTTGATTTAGTCCACTTGATAAGGAATTAGAATATTTTTGTAAAGTTAAAAACTTGAGAGTTGGAAGTGTTTGGTTTATTTTAGACTTATTTTTATTGCCTTAACCTTGATGAGGTTAACGTAATTGATCATTTCATGATGTTTTTTGGGATGGTTGTTAGTCATATATGGCTAACTTTTGTTAAGAATTTGTGATACTATATTTTTATGTTTGATAATTGTGATGTTAGGTTTTAAAAGTTTGATGATTCTAAGTATTAAAGTTATTATGAATTGTTACTATTTACAAAATATCTAAATAATTAATAAACAATATAACCTACGTATGCGTTGTGTTTTTTTTTTTTTGCTTTTTTTTTCTTAACCCTTAACAGAAGACCAAGCGTTTCATAACCCATTTTTCATTATTTTCAACTTTGTAGAGAGCACTATTTTCAAGTGGGGACCATTAAGATGAGAGATTAATCGTTGGCCACATCATTACCAAGTATAGTTGAACTACTTGGTATTAAGTTCCTCCATTTCTCTCTCTCTCTCACACATATATATACGGTTTTTTTTTCTGGATACACCTTGTCATCCTTGATTTCACTTTTGTGAATCTTTCTAACTAGCTTTGTCTTTCATGCTCACTGTAATCTCCAAACCATCTCAAACTTGTCACCTTTATCTTCTCAGCCGTACACTTAATTTCTCTTTTATTTTGTTTTATCATATTTCCAGTCATTAACTTCGATATTTCTCTTTCATTTCATATTCTATTTTGTTTTGTTGTCACTCATCAACTTTAATTTTTATGTTTACACTTATTTTATCTTTTATCATATTTCCAGTCATCAAATTCAACATTTCTTAATTTTGTTACTTGCGCATGTATCATGGCGAAGCATAGATGTTTGTTTTCTTAAAAATGTTTTCCATTAGTTTTGTAAGTGTTCACAGACCAAGCTTATGGAAACACTCCTGTCAGTTCACTCTTTAATCTCCTTTAGGATGAATGTTATACTTAAAGACAAAAATAATCAGTCTTATGTTTATCTTGGTCATTAACATGAACTACTTTTTCCTAATATTTTTGTATGTCCATTGTATCATATAAATTATCTTTCTGGTCCTATTGCAATATCATCAGCAAGCAAACGCACACGTAAGCCTATCAGTAGCTAATGCTAAGAGATAATAATATTATCCCACCCTTACGGGTGCATATGATAATAATTTGATCTGTCTCTTCTCCAACAATAATGTACGCCATACCCATATTACAGGCTAATGTTTATAATAATTCACATGTAGTATAACTTAACAAAATGATGATTTGTGCTTCAACTTTTCCCTGAAGAAAATGCAAAGGCATATAACTTATATCATTTAGGCAAACAAAATTGAGTTTCCTCTGCTTAGATCCATTTCCTTTTCTTCATTTTATTATTTATGTTGCGAACTCTACATTTAAATTTATGGGTAAATTTCACAAAATCCCCAAAACTTTAGGGTGTTTCCCACAATACCACCAAGTACTTTGTTTTTCTGGGTTAAACCCCAAAACTTTTCCCACTTAACCCCAAGTGACATAAATGCCCATATCATAAAACATACTTGTTTATTTTCATCTCATTCTCTCCTCCCCTCCCATTAACCCCTATATGAGAAAAATAAAGAAGAGAGAGAGGAGGGGTTTTCTTGCATATTTTTGAATGTGAGGTTTTTTTTTAAAAAATTTAAAAAGTAAAAAAGTATTTTTTATGTTCAGCGGCATTTTCATCACTTGGTGGTTAAGTGGGACATGTTCTAGGTGTTTAATGGCAAGAACAAGGTTATTGGGAGTATTGTGGAAAACATCACATAGTACTTGGGGGTTTTGTAAAATTCACCCTTAAGTTTATATTCACAAAAAAATTAAAAAATGCAAGTAATTGGTTAAAACAGTGAAGCTTATGTAACTTCAAAAATGGGAATACTAGAATGAATCAAAACCTTAAATGTATCTTATATGGCCGCAATAGTCCAAGAACTGAACTTTTTTTTTGAATGTTACCATACAGTTGTTTTGTGATTTTAATTGAATTTATAAGTTAAAAGATTTTGATATTTTCCCATGGTACATTTACTTAAGGATATGTTGATGATGTTATTTTTTTGGTTAAAACAGCGAAACTTATGTAACTTAAAAAAAGGGAATATTAGAATGAATCAAAACCTTAAATGTATCTTATATGGTTGCAATAGTCCAAGAACTGAACTCTTTTATTTTTGGAAGTTACCACACAGTTGTTTTGTGATTTTGATTGAATTTATAAGTTGGAAGATTTTGATATTATCCCATGGTACAATTACTTAAAAAGAGATTTTGATGATGTTATTCTTTTGTTGAGTTACAGAATATGATTACTGGAGCTGCACAAATGGATGGTGGAATTCTTGTTGTATCTGCACCAGATGGACCAATGCCTCAGACGAAGGAACATATTTTGCTTGCTCGCCAGGTGATTAACTTATTGCTTGTTCTGCTCACTTTTATTTAGACGAAGGAACATATTTTGCTTGCTCGCCAGGTGATTAACTTATTGCTTGTTCTGCTCACTTTTATTTTCTTCAAGGCCTTCTTAGTCCTTCGTATGCAATTTCTATTTTCACTTTTGAGTGATTCTTTAGTCTTTACTTTCCTTCTGTGTAGGTTGGTGTGCCATCACTTGTGTGCTTCCTGAACAAGGTTGATGCTGTTGATGATCCTGAATTGCTGGAACTCGTGGAAATGGAACTACGTGGTATGAAGCCACAACTAGATAAATATTTAATTAATAAATGTGTGTTATAATGTTGTTGATACTCTTGAATTATGGGAATTCATAGAAATGGATCATCGAATTAATAAATGTGTGTTATAATGTTGTTGATACTCTTGAATTATGGGAATTCATAGAAATGGATCATCGCATGGAGTCATAAATGAATAATTGAATGTAATACTCTTGAATTATGGGAATTCATAGAAATGGATCATCGCATGGAGTCATAAATGAATAATTGAATGTATGCATGCTTGTGTGTATTGGTGATTCTATTTATATGTCAAGCATATATACATGCAAGCAACTATGCATATGTATTGATTTTTGCCCTATTTATCATACATCACCTTTGATTGGCAGAGCTGCTTAGCTTCTACAAGTTCCCTGGTGATGAGATCCCAATTGTTCGGGGGTCAGCTCTATCTGCCTTACAGGGGACAAACGATGAAATTGGGAGGAAGGCTATTCTAAAGTTAATGGATGCCGTTGATGAGTACATACCCGACCCTGTACGCCAACTTGACAAGCCATTCCTCATGCCAATTGAGGATGTTTTCTCTATTCAGGTGATCGAATTTTATTTCATTCTTATCTTGAATTTGTAGTTTGCAACTGAGTATGAATTTTCCTTTTAAACCAACCATGGGTCAGAATTTAATATAACTAGTAGGGTGCAAATGCATTGCATGGGTGACAATACTTGTTTTATGGTCTGATTATTTTTTGTAAGGAAAATGATGAAGCGAGTCAAGCGACCAAAATAATTGCACGTGCATTGAAAACTATAAACACATATATTAATTTAATAAAAATATTCCATTTAAAGAATATTAAGTTAATATTAATAAAATTAGATATTGGTATTTAAAAATGATATACAAACCACTTTTTAGTATTAAAATGTAAATAAATAAAAAAATGCTATTTTCCAAAATAATCTAGATGAAATAGGTGAAAGATATTTATTAATTTGAAGGAAAGCAAGCTATTTACATACAAAGAAGTTTTGATTACTGATAAAGTTGGATACAAAGATTTGTGAGCATGCATGACGTATGTTGATGAAGATATGCAGTGCGGTAGGAAAATTTTCCAGTTAGCGTGGACCAATAGCAAAAAGTTAAAACTTGACTAGTAAATTTAAAATTAATCTAGAAGGTGATCAAGTGTACCAAGATGTATCAGGTTTTAACGGTGGGGAGAGATGAGAGGACAAATAGGCATAGTTTAAAATTCAAAGAAGCACTAAATTAATTATACCTTTTCACTATAACCATTTAGCAATATTTTCCATATCTATGAGTAAATTATAATGAAATAATACAAACTATCATTGCGTGTTGTCAATGCGCAAGGCGTAGTGTGGGGCAAAGTATCTTTATACACACATGCGCAAGGCGTAACGCGGTGCGCGCACCCGCGTGATGTGAGGTGCACACCGCACACAATTTTTCACGATAGATAATCAAGCATGAAGCATGTATAGGAATTCACATAAAACAATATTTCAGGTTAAATAATATCTTACTACCAAATCACAATATAATGTCTCAATTTCTAATGCTAACACGTCCAACGTAGTAGCAAAGTTCATAATTTTTTAAATCAAATGTCAAATCAAGACTAATATTCCATCAAAATTAAATAGTAAACGAGGATTCAATAGGGTCATCTATTGAAGGCTGCTAAAAAGGCCTAGGGGATTTATTTTGCTTTTTGAAATAGTGATTATCGAGTATATAGACTCATTGAAATGTTAAACAAACAAAAATATACTAGGCTGTGTACTACATACACCCTGCGCAAAGTTAGGATGTTTGCGAGACGCAAAAGGCGTTGTTGCATCAGATGTGGGGCGCTTCTCACCACCCCGCATCACAGGGCGCATGAGGCGCACGCCATTAAAAACACTACTATCATTAAAATTTCACCAATATTTGAGGATTGTCTTCCTTTCCTTCCTACCTTTCTCAAGGTTTTTTTAATTTTATTTGAGATATGCTGGGCTGAAGCAAATGGGGTTATAAGGAACATGTGACTTTTGAGTTCTAAACTAAAATTTTTATTAATAAGTTTTCATCATTGGTTGATGTAAATGAAATCATATTTTCATTTGTAAAGATTGAGTTCGGGAATATTGATTACACTATGACGAAGTGGTTTTTTATTTTCATGTCATCATTATGCATTGAGAGTGAGCCTTGGCACAACGGTAAAGTTGTTGCCTTGTGACCCGAAGGTCATGGAGTCAAATCCTAGAAACAACCTCTTCGCATGCGGGGTAAGGCTGTGTACATCTGACCCTTCCTAGAGCCCACAATGATGGGAGCCTCGTGCATTGGGCTACCCTTTTTTATGTCATCATTATGCATTAAGCCTTTATTCTATGAGATATACTAAAAGCTATTAAGATCATCATCCGTAGAGGAGCATGAAGTGCTTAATTAATAGAAAGGATTAACGTTAGCATTTTTCATGGCATCATTTTTGCATGAAAAACCTTCTCACTATCATTTAAAATGTTTGCACGCTATCAACTAAGATGTTTACCTAAATTGATAGGTTATAGCAGTAATTTACAATTTTTTACAAGCTAAGCTAAGCCGATGAACTTTTTAACTACAGTAGGAAAAAGCTAACTATCTAAACATTTTTAACATGATAAATAAATAAGTTATTGTCTTGATGTTATTGATTATGAATTGTTGTTGTCAACTGATATTATAGTTGAGGGCATTTTTGGATAAAAAGTTTTAACATAGGGCATGCTTTTAGAATAGTATTAGATTAGATAGATTAGAAGCATGTCACCTATACAAAGATTATGTATAAGTGCATTGCTAGATGTGGTTTACCGCATTGGTCTTTACTTTATCCGCATCCTCACAGCTTCACAGAAGGATAGCTGACAGGGGGCAATGTTTGAAAATTTGAGTATCACCAATGTTTGACCGAATTTTGGCCTCCGGGTCCAATCAAGATGGGGTATATTTATTGGGCCAAATTCGGATAAAGTTATATTATACATATATATACATATATGTATATATATGTATATATATGTATATATATACATATACATATATGTATATATATGTATATATATGTATATATACATCTATATGTATACATATACATGTATATGTATATATGTATATATACATCTATATGTATACATATACATGTATATGTATACATATATATGTACATATGTATGTATATATGTACATGTATATATGTACATATGTACATATATACATACATATGTACATATATATGTACATATTTATGTGTGTGTGCTAAGTTGCATGGAAACGGGCACGGGTACTGGTACGGGTGCAGGTGCAGGTACGGGACACAACAAAACTGTAAAATGTAGGGTACGGGGACACGACTACATATATATTGAATTAATACTGTACATAAGATAATTTTTTCCCCTTCATGTGTCATTAGAATTAAAATTCCGATCACATTTTTGAGTTTCTTTTATCATATTGATTATCGTGAATTGTAAACTACACATTTTTTTTACTAGACATCTAAACGACCCATTAACTATATAGTTTTAAACTTGGGTATGGACTGAAACGAATCCGACCCGTATCTCATTAGTTTCAAAAGACGGATGTGAAGTGTAAGCTCTACGTCCAGAAAGTCTTTGACAAGTGTTTTAAATTAACACATATATCATATAATTGAGTACATGTTGTAATAAATGCATGCATATATTCAAGAAGTGTCCATGAAGTTTGAGTATGGGAAAGTGTCGGGTACGTGTCCGGTACGGGTACGGCTTCATTATAGAAGTACCCGGGTAACATAGTGTGTGTATATATATATATATATATATATATATATATATATATGAAATGAATATAGTTCATATGATACAAGAGAGTTCATTAATATGTTATATTTGAAAAGCTAAGATTAGATATCTTGATCATCAAAATCAACCTAAATCCTTTAATCTAAGGATCAAAACAATTACAATTGTATGAGCAATGTATATTCGAATACTTCGGATACGGATATGGATATTTCACTACATACTTGTTTCCACGACCATATCCCATCGGATATAGATATTAGTGACCAAATCCTCGCATATGGATACATATATATTTTTTCGCCACCGTAGTTGTGGGTGCTAAGGCTTATGCTTAGGTGAGAATATTATCATTATATTATCATCCCAGCATTCTGGCTCAAAATGCACCAAGACCGTTGAAATGCGCATCAGAGGAAGTTTCCCTCAAGGAGACACATGGGTTTCATTTTTTTTTATTGGAAGTGAAAAGCGTTATCCAACAGAGACTAAGATTGGATGAAATTAGAGCATCATCATACAAACTGACATGACCTGGATCACTTGTTGCTTCCAGCAGCTCCACTTTCACCCTCTCTCGTTCAGGTTTTAAGGTTTAAATGGTTCACGCAATTTCCTCGGTTAGTTTACAGATGCTTACTAGCTGGACCACAAGTAATTGCATATACTTGCAGATTTAGATTTCAAATTGTAAACATATAATGAAAACAAAGTGGATTTTGATGACCGAATATGGAGTCCATTTTGACGAAGAGAAGGACTTATTGGCGGTAGCTGTCAATTATGAAGGCATGGTCAGGACGGTGTCTCTACACAACCCATCTCAAGGGAAATGGTTGGAAATTGAAAAAGCTGCATAACTCATGCAAAAGCATTTAGGCTCAATTGAGCCCAAATTCTTCTTTTCAAATCTTTATATAAGCGAGTATTGTTTGTGTCTGAAACTAATTGAGTCATAAATCCAAATTGGATCTTTAAAGCAAATAAAAGCCCAAATATTGATATTACCATATTTCAGTTGACATTGAGGTCAAAATATTGGTTAATGTATCAGGAAGATTATGATATTTTGTTGAAAAATTGAAAAACAATAAACGATACTGAAACATTATTTATAACAAATTAAAGCCCAAATATAGAGATAGGCTATAGCCGCCATATTTTTGCTGATATTGAGGTCATATTATCAGTCCTTGGGAAAATTCTAATATTTTGCTGAAAAATTGCAAAAACAATGAAGGACATTCAGACAATATCGTTTTGCTACAAGAGTTATTTGACTTGTCGGCGGATATATCAGCCATATCTTCTAATATAATAATTAAGACAATGATTCAATCTGATGACAGTCAATCTTCCTCCAAAGATGCGAATCCGATATTTTATACATGCATCAAGCAAACATAATTTGAGTGTTTTGTACAACTTCGAAATTTGAGTTCTAATGCTTTATGCTGGGTGGAACACATTTAGAACCCATTAACTGTGGAAGGCATGTCATGCAATGTGAAATGTTAATAATCTGATACTTCCGAAGGTAGCTATTTCTCTCTTCGTACACACAAGCACAAGTAGACAGACATGCAGTTTGCAAATTTACTGTGTTTTCTATAAATCCAACCCTGTATCACTAACTCTCTATTGCTTAATTTCTTCTTTCAGATGAATGTAACATTCATGTGAAGTTAATAGGGGAAAACTTGGATGTTCTTTAATACTGGTATTTTTTTGAAATTTTATTTATTGAGGTTAGCTTGTGTCGTGACTCATCATACTGTGTGACTCACCATACTGTATAGATTTTCACGGTTTACAATTCAGTCTTGGGCCATCATAGACTGAGGTAGATGTCAAGGAGCTTGGCTCATTATTCATACTACATGTTTGCTAAAGTATCTTTAATTAGATAAAATGCTTGGTAGCTGGTAGTTTGCAGAGAAAAATCAGTGGCGGAATGTGTTCTAACGCAATGTTCATTGTATTTCTGACCTTAGTGGTAATTGAAGTCATGGTTTCTAAAATAGAAATATTTTTTTCATGCTTTTTGCTTGAGGTGTTCGTTTTCGAGTGCCACAGTATTCATTTGATGGTTATTATGTGCCTTTTGTTCCAGGGACGTGGAACTGTTGTAACTGGACGTGTAGAGCAAGGAACAATTAAAACTGGAGAAGATGTTGAGATTTTAGGTTTAATGCAGGTAAGTTATGATAAGCTGTAGTTTTCTCGCACCCTAGAGCCCCCCAACCACGTCAAAACTCCTCACTCAAAAAAAAAAAAAAAAGAAAGAAAGAAAAAAGAACGTAAAGAAAAGAAAATAAAGAGTGCTTTTGTGTTCGCAAGTAACAATTTGGGTACTTAATTATTTTTTATATATGATGTGACCCCTCTCTGATTTTCTTAGTTTGATCAGTGGATAATAGGTTTGAGCACGTTCTTGGATTTTTTGCAGAGTGAGATTTTTATTCTTACACAGGAGCAATAAAATGTTTGTGAATTTTTTTATTCAAAGTTAACCAAGTTGGAGATTTGAGATAATCAGTTATCAATATAAAAAGATGAACTAAAAATGCAAACATATTTATTGTTTGGATGATTATGGAGTTCATTATTTGACAGGGTGGTCCGTTGAAGACTACTGTTACTGGTGTAGAGATGTTCAAGAAGATCTTGGATCATGGAGAGGTATAAATAGTACGCACAAACAACCTTATTTGCATTTCTTTATTTTCTAATTTTTGGTTGTATGTTTCTTTAGGCTGGTGATAATGTTGGTCTTCTTCTACGGGGTTTAAAACGTGGAGATGTACAGAGGGGGCAGGTAGATTTATTAAGGAATAATATCACGATGATACTCAAATGCTCACTTATTTCTCTTTCTTTTGTTTTTTACTTGTCCCTAGAGATGGATGACAATACTTTCCAAATGATTTCAGCAATCAATTTGTTTTAAAAAAAATTATTTATTTGTATGTTGTATTGTATCTGTCTCTTTCCTTTTAAAAGATGGACAGTTAAAAGTTACATATATTAGTTTGTTTATCTTTGTTGAAACCCGTGTGCATTTCATGTAGACATGGTGCATTTTTTGAATGTAGGTTGTTTGCAAGCCTGGGAGTCTTAAGACATATAAGAAATTTGAGGCAGAGATTTATGTGCTTACAAAAGATGAAGGTGGTCGGCACACTGCCTTTTTCTCAAACTATAGGCCTCAATTCTACATGAGGACTGCTGATGTTACTGGCAAGGTGGAATTGCCTGAAAATGTGAAGATGGTGATGCCCGGAGATAATGTGACTGCTGTTTTTGAACTTATATCCGCAGTTCCACTCGAAGCAGGTAATGGTGTAAAAAACTGTTAAATTTTGTATACGAAACTTAAATTTTGTTAGTTTTACTATTAAGGGGGTGTTTGGCAATCTGAAAGTGAATTTAAAATATGTAAGTTACTTTTTTTTACAAATGACTTTTACATCCATGTCAGCACGCAAGTGAAATACATTGTTTGTTTGAAAAATTAAATTATTATCGAAAGTGCAATGTGAAGATGACGTGGCAAAATAAGATTAATTAGAAAATATAATTAAAATCATTTAATTAAATTACTTACCTTTTTGTCACTTTCATGTGACTTCACCATTTTTTTAGGGGAAGTCAAAATTGCATTAAATCTTATGTGGCAACTTTCTTACATCTCACTTTCATAACCACTTACATGAAAACAAACACCTTAATTGTTAAATGAAAGTAACTTTCTCACTTTCATCTTTCACTTGCATGCAAACAAACACCCCCTAAGTGGCCTTGGTTCTGAAATTCCAAATTTACTTATTATAGTCTTGAAGGGCCTACGTTTATTGTAAAACCATTAATTTCTAATCCTTAACTATTCTGTTTTTTTGTACTGATACTTTGACAGCTGTCTGATGGTGCTCATGCTCATGTCTGATAGTATTATTCTATGATTCTGTTATATAACTGATTCTATATCTTGTTTTCCCTTTTAAAAAGGTTTACATGCCATTCATTAATTGGATTCCTGTTCTCTTTTATTAGTTTCATGGCCTCGAGGTTTGTAATAGTGAATTTTTTTAGATGCTTAGATAAATCCATAAATTGTTGTGTGATATATATAGTATATAAAACTTAAATCAAAGTATTAATTTATATCTCAAAATGCTTGATGTGGCTGCTCTGGATATTTTAGATGTTTTTCCCATGTTTTTATTTTAAATGTTTCATGGATCCTTTTCTTAAATATCCGACATGGCCCGATAATATTGCCCGATATATCCTTTTACAAGGCTTGCTGCAGCCGATATGGTTTCTAAATATCCTTTGCCACTTTTATGGTGATATATCACCAATATCTTGGCCGATATATCCTTTTATATGGCTTGTCGCAAAACAATATACCACATTTGGCAATTTTGGGCGAGATATCATGATTTTCCCATTTGATTATATCAAATGACATTTTGGCCTAAAAAATTAAACTAAATGTCACAAGGTTGATTTGTACTTTTGTATTTTTTACAAGGTTGATTAGTGATCCTAAACATATATTATTTACATTTTGTATGCTTAAATTTTATTAAGTATGTTGAGATTACATTTTAGTGCTTTATACTATATATACAAACATCCGTTATTGCATTTCGATATTTACCACATATCCCCGATATTTTCCCAATATTTGCAATCCGATATGAATTTTGACCATATGATATTTCCCCTATATACGATATTTAAAACCTTGTCATGGATAGAGCTTATTCTTGATTCCCTGAGTGTTGTTTTGTAGGGCCCTATGTGATTTGCTCTACATTAAATTTCATATTAATTTGTACAGGTTTTTTTTTTCACTGTGATCAAAACAAAAGATAAAATTGTCCTTTGCTGCTTCTGAATTTGAAAAGAGATCTTTTCCTTTTCGGAACGTGTAGTGAAAGTTGGAATGGTCTATTGGGCTCGACTTCAAGTCATGTTCTCATTCCTTTCACAATTTAAACATGTATTCTGATATTACTCGTTATATTCTGAGGGTTCTCTCTGGGTCCTTCAAGATTTTGCTATATAAATGTTTTCTTTGTTTCTTTTTCTTTTTCCTGGAATATGGTTCCATTGATCAATATCTTTGCTGATTCCTTCCTACATCTGCAAAATTTTGCGTTCTTTTATTGTGTTGCAAAAGTCACGAGCACCATTCGCAGACCTGACTTGAGTCTTGACGTCTTTTCTATCTTTTGATTTTGATAGGACAAAGATTTGCACTGCGAGAAGGAGGACGAACAGTCGGTGCAGGGGTTGTTTCAAAAGTGATCAGCTGAGCAGCTCTCATCTGCTGCATTCCCACGCTTCTTACTTAGATGCTTATTCAGACTAGTGGGCATTTGCTTCTCTCATAAAAATGCAATTTACAGATAGTTTAGTTCGTATAATTTTTTATTTATGCATTAAAGAGAAATGTTGGGGATATTAAATTTTGAAAATTTTGTTTCCTTTTGTTGACTATAGTGTAGAAATGTTATATTTCATTGTTATGAAGACTGGTTGTCTGCTTGTATCATGAATAAGATCCCCTGTTAATAACTGTTCATCGTTACGAAGACTGGTCGTCTGCTTGTATCGTGAATAAAATCCTCTTCTAATGCTAACTGAAGTGAACTCTATCAGTGTGTATCCCCAAGTTGTTCCTTTTAGTGCTTATGTCTCTTGTTATGACGGATCGACAATGTTTACATATATGCATTTCTTGGTTCTTTGTTGAAAAGAGAAATAGAGTTGTTTTGTGTATTTGTGTGAATTGGTAGTCTTGATCTCATTTCTTTCCGAAAGCCTTCCGTCGTGAAGTTAACTGAATATATGTTTTAAAAAAAAAGTCTTATTGTCCCGGTTGTTTTTATCCTGATTTATGACAAAGGATGAACAATGATAAGAATTAGTTTTTGCCCGTAATAGCAATATTATTTCATCTTTGTTGAGACCTACACGGCTCCTCTAAAGACTGACCCCATAGCTGGGGGGAAGGGCATCATAGCGCCACTGCGTATTGTTTTGTTGATTATGTGCTGAAGTGTTTTTATTCAGCATCTGCTGTTTATATAAAAATTATTACGTAGCCCATGTTTTGAACATGGAGAGCAGAATTAAAAGTGTAACCAACAATTTGCAGGCTTGATGATAAGCACCAAAACTCTAGCTAAAAAGATAAAGACCACGGTTATGGATTTTGCTTATTTGATAAACTCTGTTGACATTAGATGAGAATAAGATGTTTGAATAGTAACTAGATAAGCATGAGAAAATATCTTATCAGAGTTAGCTGTATAATCTCTAGAGTCTAGTAGATTAATAGAATTTCAATTGTGACTTTTATAATGAGAAAAATTCTGATTGTCATCTTAAAACCATATTAATTACTTTACTACTATGCAAAGGATTAGAACAGGTCTCTACGTACCGTCACGGCTTTTTGAACTCGATTGCTCATAAGAAGGCAAAGGGTCAAATACAATATCATAAAAAAAAATTTAGTTTTTGTAATTTTGTATGCCATAATCATACAAGTCAATTTATTATACTAATCAAAATATGAGTTTTGAGATGCATATGCTATTTCATCCTCTATCCCAATCCACAACTTCATTGAAGTCTCGTTGAGTTACCATTCACAATAAGACCAATTTAGTTACACGTGCCTATGAAAGTAAAAAATTATCCACCAATATCATTAATTTAAACTGTTCATTACCAAAAAGCTGGGTGGATGAAAAATCACATGATTTGTAAACATATATTCAATAATTCAAGCAACTAAAATAACCAACTTGTGAGATTATTATAGAACATTCATCTGTTTCCTAATTCTTATAGAACATTCATCTGTTTACTAATTCTCTGATGTATGTACTAGAAATACCGAATCAATATGATTCTTTTTTAATCTTTATGAATTTTAGAATGCGTAAGTCATGACGAATGGATTCAATTATTTGTATTGATCCTCGAGTATGTATTTTGAAAGTCATGTACACGAAGAGTGTTTTATAACCCTGTAAGCGAGAGGACAAGATTGCGACCTTCGCTGTTTTGGATCAATATCACTACCCGATAGGGCTTAATAATTGTGGAAAATTCGGTCCATGGGCCCTCTTACCAGCTCACCATGTCGTCATTCTCCACGTGAAAAGGGGTAAGGTTGTCCGAACTGGCCCTTCTTTCAACCTTTACCCTTTGCAGATACCGATCAATGACTGAATATAAACAACTCACGACCTAAAATATCGATCCGAAGGATGTTACGTTTGTCTCCATTATTCACAAAGCCCTTGGTGGACATTTGCTCATCCTTACCTCCATCGCCATTGTCTCAACAAAGAGCAAGAGAGACCTTTCTTTTTCTTTTTCCTTTTTTATTGATAAACAATCACTAATAGCCTACAAATAGGGTTACTTTCACATAACCCCCTTAACTTTGGAAGGTATTGCAGTTAACCCCCTTAAACTTTGTTTATCCCGTACAACCCCTCCTGAACTATAGGGTGGCTCAAAAAACCTCCCTAATCTTTACCTTATCTCACCTAAACCCCCCTGTAATTTATAAATAACTAAAATATTTTTTAGTGAAAAAACTCCAAACTTTGTCACTTGTCAGTAAAATGCAACATACACTCTCCCCTAAAATTTGAGTTTTTTTTTCTCTCGAATTTTTTTTAGATTTTTTGGAAATTTCATGCAGTAGGGTTTGATGAGAAAAGTTTAAGGTGGTCTTGTGAGACACCCCAAAGATTAGGGGAGCTATGTGAAATAAATTTTTTTTGTGTGTGCGTGGT